TTTCCATCATTTGTCTAGAAGTCGAAGCGTAAATTTCATGTCCGTCAGCTTACTGTAATCCAAAGATCAATTAGTTTACCCGCTCTGCGTAATAGGCAAAATTTTTTAGCTCAGAGATGAGCCTGTACTCTCATCGGAATACATTACTGCCTCCATTATTTTCTAAAGAATTGTAATGTAAAGTAAGGGTGCCACGAGGTGCCTTTTATGCTTAACACAAGACGCGCGGGAATGGATGAATGCCCACTAAGGTGCAGTGCATTGCGTTGAGAGGCCTTTGAGCTGCCTTGCAGAGAGTGGTGGGAAGGGTGTGGTGCGTGAAGGATGAGTTTGCCTGTGTAAACCGATTAGAGGTAATTAATTTCGTGTTTTGCTAGGAGCTAAATACAATGCTTAGATTATCGTTTTAACCATTTGTCTTGGTTGTACAGGCAGTTAGAGAAGCGCTTTTGCAATTCTGCCACGCAGCATGGCCTTCGAGTAATGCCAGTTTACCCCGTCCCCTCTGTGACTGGGCACTCCCCTTTTGGCAGCCCAAAACGAGCCCAATCCTCATTGGAGCCAGCATCGGAATCGAATGCTTCATGATAAGCATTTAGGTGATGAAGGGAGATCATCGGCTGCGGATGCGAGAATTCGTGATGATTCTTAATAGAATGGTTGAAAATGACCCTCGGTTAATGCTCCTGCTCAGCGTTCTGCAGGAATGCCTTTAACAACTTGTGTCTGTAGCTCACCAAGAAATGTTTGCTGCTCAGCTGTATACGCTACATGTATGAAGGAGTCCATTAGTTGAAACCCTGGCACAAGCACGAATCCGATGAATGAATGCTAAAAGGTGATTTTGTTAAATCATCTTTTCTGACAAATCGATTCATTACATATCCGCTGATAATGGCCTTTTGAATACTTTCCCTCATTTACCCATGTTACGCTTTTTCCACAGGCTTTAACCTGACGTCTCTGTAATTGGTTAGTTCTAGCTCATTCTAATGATTCACTTTAAATTTTTCTGATTTTGATTTTAGCTTTTTATCCACCTACCTGGCAGAGCATAAACCAGACATTCTTGTCCTTCATGAGCTTAACATCAAATGAGGACAGCTGGAAATGTGAAAAGCAATTAATACCAAATCCCACTTATTGGCGAGTAGTGTGAATTTCGTATGAATCTCGACTAATACAAGACGCTCATTCGCGCAGTCCATGTCTGCACCAGTTGTGAACACATCTTAAGTCTGCCATGAAGGTGATTAGTGTGCTACAAGTCAACATCCCCTTGACTAATGTGTACGCTGACCGGCAATGTACAGCTTCTACTACGATTACAAGTTTATTGGTGGCAGTGGCGGATTAAGTTGCCGAATAAAGGAGACTGGTCAGAGGAGGACGGCATGCATAGCGGTATTGTGGAAAATCAGAGAGTAAGGTATTTTCATGCTTCGCCGACAGGTTTTCTAGGAGAGGAGAGTGTGGGTCTTAGCATCATGTGCTTTCTACAGCTTTCGAAGTGAGGGCACTGATATATCCTGATTATGGCAGAGTGCTAAACGAAGTAGCCAATGCAAAACTTATGCAGGCACAAGACGCCGATACAGTGGGCGGACACAGCCAGTTATGGATAAATGTATGAAATGCGTATTAGTCTAGACAGACACTGAATTTTATTTTCCCCTAATCTACCTCTGCACTAGTTGGGGTGTTGCCTTCAACCTGACAGTAGTGTTAGACGCAATCCACGTCTACCAACGCGTGGGTCGCTTGTAGTCGATGT